TTTGAGGCCGAGGTCGGGGTATGTACCCAAGGTTCTTTCCACGGCGTTCCGCTCTCAGGTTGTTAACCTTAACGCTTTCCACCCTCCTCCTTTTGCCTCTGAGGAAGAAAGGAAACTTAACTTGCTCTGCCCGGTCCGTTCTTTGAAGTTGTATGTAGATCGCTCAGGCGGTTGGAGGAAATCAAACCAGCTCTTGGTATGTTTTGGTGCTGGCCGCCGCGGGCTTGCAGCATCAAAGCAAAGGATTTCCCACTGGGTAACGGATGCTATTTCGCTGGCTTACGAGGTGCGTGGTTTGCCTTCACCTCTTAGCATCAGAGCACATTCCACCAGAAGTGTGGCTTCCTCTCAAGCTCTCTTTAGAGGGGCCCTCTTGGAAGACATTTGTGTGGCGGCAGGTTGGTCCTCTCCGCACACCTTTGTGAGGTTCTATAATTTAGATCTTGACATGACTCCAGGTTCCCAGGTTCTTTCTGCTTGAACCTGTCATGGTTGTTATTATTATTTGGTCTGTTACCAGTTATGGCAGCGCTTAGCTTGGCGAGTTTGGTATTTCGTTCCCACTGCGCTTTCCGCAGCGTTGAGTGAACCTATGAAAGAGAACGTCTCTGGTTACTTACGTAACCTATGTTCTCTGAATAGGGAACGAGACGCTGCGTTCGCTGCCAAGCTCCTCGCGCTGCCGACAGTTTTTCTTTTCGGCAGAGAAATCTGAGGAGAAGATGGCGCGCGCGCGTTCATCATGCTACGACGTAAGAGCGTCAGGGCGGAGCCAGCTTTGCGCGAGCGCCATCAGCCAATGAATTGGCGTGATTCTATAGGGCTTCAGGCAATCGGCACATCCAGAGGATATCCCACTGCGCTTTCCGCAGCGTCTCGTTCCCTATTCAGAGAACATAGGTTACGTAAGTAACCAGAGACGTTTTCATAAGCTGTAATCCATAATCATCACAATTATAACAAATAAAGGCTTGAAATATCTCTCTTTGCATGTATCTCACTCGTTATTGTTACTTAAACATGGACCCTTCTCATATCTCCAGGGTTCTCAGAAGCTCCCAAAAAAAAAAAAAATCCATGATAGTGTTTTTATGACTTTCCACAAGAGGAAAAAAATTCAAGAGATTGATCACGTTTGGCCAGAAGAGAGAAAGATGTCAAATTTGCCGTCACTCCCTCAGCCTTTCTTTCTGCAACCGCTCGGTCTCGCTGACATCAGAACATCAGACGTGTGCAGTCTCACGACACGACCGCTTCTCGACGTCTGGAGATGACTGGAGATTTCTTTTGCTGGCCTTGATGTTTTTTCCCCTTTCTCAACTTCTCTGATATGTATGGAAGCTTGTTTCCGCCACAGAATGAAAATTAAAAAAGGTAATTGCGACTTTTTATCTCACAATTCAGACTTTATTTCTCACAATTGCGAGATATAAAGTCAGAATTGATTGATATAAAGTCAGAATTGCGTGATATAAAGTCAGAATTGATTGATATAAAGTCAGAATTGCATGATATAAAGTCAGAATTGTGAGATATAAAGTCAGAATTGTGAGATATAAAGTCGCAATTGCGTGTTATAAAGTCAGAATTGCGAGATATAAAGTCAGAATTGCGTGATATAAAGTCAGAATTGCGTGTTATAAAGTCAGAATTGCGAGATATAAAGTCAGAATTGCGAGATATAAAGTCAGAATTGCGAGATATAAAGTCAGAATTGCGTGATGTAAAGTCAGAATTGTGAGATATAAAGTCAGAATTGTGAGATATAAAGTCAGAATTGTGAGATATAAAGTCAGAATTGTGAGATATAAAGTCGCAATTGCGTGTTATAAAGTCAGAATTGCGAGATATAAAGTCAGAATTGTGAGATATAAAGTCAGAATTGCGTGATGTAAAGTCAGAATTGTGAGATATAAAGTCAGAATTGTGAGATATAAAGTCAGAATTGCGAGATATAAAGTCAGAATTGTGAGATATAAAGTCGCAATTGCATGTTATAAAGTCAGAATTGCGAGATATAAAGTCAGAATTGTGAGATATAAAGTCAGAATTGTGAGATATAAAGTCAGAATTGTGAGATATAAAGTCAGAATTGTGAGATATAAAGTCAGAATTGATTGATATAAAGTCGCAATTGGGTGTTATAAAGTCAGAATTGTGAGATATAAAGTCAGAATTGCGAGATATAAAGTCAGAATTGCGTGATATAAAGACAGAATTGCGAGATATAAAGTCAGAATTGTGAGATATAAAGTCAGAATTGCGAGATATAAAGTCAGAATTGTGAGATATAAAGTCGCAATTGCATGTTATAAAGTCAGAATTGCGAGATATAAAGTCAGAATTGTGAGATATAAAGTCAGAATTGTGAGATATAAAGTCAGAATTGTGAGATATAAAGTCAGAATTGTGAGATATAAAGTCAGAATTGATTGATATAAAGTCGCAATTGGGTGTTATAAAGTCAGAATTGTGAGATATAAAGTCAGAATTGCGAGATATAAAGTCAGAATTGCGTGATATAAAGACAGAATTGCGAGATATAAAGTCAGAATTGCGAGATATAAAGTCAGAATTGCGAGATATAAAGTCAGAATTGCGTGATGTAAAGTCAGAATTGTGAGATATAAAGTCAGAATTGTGAGATATAAAGTCAGAATTGCGTGTTATAAAGTCAGAATTGTGAGATATAAAGTCAGAATTGTGAGATATAAAGTCAGAATTGTGAGATATAAAGTCAGAATTGCGAGATATAAAGTCAGAATTGTGAGATATAAAGTCAGAATTGCGAGATATAAAGTCAGAATTGTGAGATATAAAGTCGCAATTGATTGATATAAAGTCATAATTGCGTGTTGTAAAATCAGAATTGTGAGATATAAACTATACTGAGGGGAAAAAAGTTAGTCTTTTTTTCCCTTAGAATTGGCCTGATAACTCGCAATTGCGAGTTTATATCTCACAATTCTGAGAAAAGATGTCAGAATTTCGAGATATAAAGTCAGAATTGCGAGATATAAAGTCAGAATTGCGTGATGTAAAGTCAGAATTGTGAGATATAAAGTCAGAATTGCGTGATGTAAAGTCAGAATTGCGAGATATAAAGTCAGAATTGCGAGATATGCGAGATATAAAGTCAGAATTGTGAGATATAAAGTCAGAATTGCGTGTTATAAAGTCAAAATTGTGAGATATAAAGTCAGAATTGTGAGATATAAAGTCAGAATTGTGAGATATAAAGTCAGAATTGCGAGATATAAAGTCAGAATTGTGAGATATAAAGTCAGAATTGTGAGATATAAAGTCAGAATTGTGAGATATAAAGTCGCAATTGATTGATATAAAGTCATAATTGCGTGTTATAAAGTCAGAATTGTGAGATATAAACTATACTGAGGGGAAAAAAGTTAGTCTTTTTTTCCCTTAGAATTGGCCTGATAACTCGCAATTGCGAGTTTATATCTCACAATTCTGAGAAAAGATGTCAGAATTTCGAGATATAAACTCGCAATTCTGTGTTATAATGTCAGAATTGCGAGATGTAAGCTCGCAATTGTGAGATAAAAAGTCTCAATTCTGTCTTTTTTTCTCGCAATTGCGACTTTATTTCTCATAATTGCGACTTCATATTTCGCAATTGTGAGATAAAAAGTCGCAATTTTTATTTTTATTTTTTTTTATTCAGTGGTGGAAACAAGCTTCCATAGTATGATATTAGATTAAGCTAGAAAGATCCTTGTAAGGTCATTGAGTTCACCTTTTAGTTCTTTCTTAAAGAGACAGAACTGAAATTAATCTCTAATCTCTAATGTGTAAACCAAAAAACTAATGTATATATTTTGCAAGCAACTCAACCTAATTCATATTCACAAAATGCCATGTGCAAATAGCTCAAACTAATGTATATGTACAAATGCAAAACACAATTATTGCACAAGTATTTTTGTACTTTTCTAAACGTTTTAACAAACATGTACGAATTAATTGTTGTATCCGCTAGATGTTGAATTTGAAAATCATCCCGCATGTGTAGATTGCTCTGAATTTGTGTTAGACAAGTTTTAACTAATTAGTTGTTTAAATTCATTTTCAAATTTGATGAATTAAACAGCTCATAAACATATTTTATCACTAGAGAAAAATTAAATATGCCCTAAAACATGAAAGTATCATGCAATGATTTAAGACGTTTCTCCTTATATAGAACCTTTTTGAGTCAAGAACCCTAGAGTTCTATATAGAATCTATATAGTGTTCTGTAAAGTTGAGTCAAGAACCCTAGAATTCTATTTAGAACCTTTTTGGCATAAAGTGTTCTGTAAAGTTGAGTCAAGAACCCTAGAGTTCTATATAGAATCTATATAGTGTTCTGTAAAGTTGAGTCAAGAACCCTAGAGTTCTATATAGAACCTTTTTGGCATAAAGTGTTCTGTAAAGTTGAGTCAAGAACCCTAGAGTTCTATATAGAACCTTTTTGCCATAAAGTGTTCTGTAAAGTTGAGTCAAGAACCCTAGAGTTCTCTATATATAACCTTTTTGGCATAAAGTGTTCTGTAAAGTTGAGTCAAGAACCCTAGAGTTCTATATAGAACCTTTTTGGCATAAAGTGTTCTGTAAAGTTGAATCAAGAACCCTAGAGTTCTATATAGAACCTTTTTGGCATTAAGTGTTCTGTAAAGTTGAATCAAGAACCCTAGAATTCTATATAGAACCTTTTTGGCATTAAGTGTTCTGTAAAGTTGAGTCAAGAACCCTAGAGTTCTATATAGAACCTTTTTGGCATAAAGTGTTCTGTAAAGTTGAGTCAAGAACCCTAGATTTCTATATAGAATCTATATAGTGTTCTGTAAAGTTGAGTCAAGAACCCTAGAGCTCTATATAGAACCCTATTGAACCTTATTTCTAAGAATGTAGAAAGACGAGAGATACAGGCAACTAAACACTAAGATGGCCCTTGTGTGACCTTTGTGAAGCAGGAGTACGTCTAACTGCCATCTTACCTTTTTTCCTTCTCCGTATATGAGTGGAAACTTCAGATCTTCCTCCTGAACTGTTTTGTACGCCCTGAACAAAGCAACACAACAGACATCAGACAGCAGAAGAAGTGAAGAGAGAGAACTCCAGCGTCTTTACACTGAGTTTCAGCTACACACACTGAACACTGATGCGAAAACATAAAGTGTAGGGATGGCCCGATACCATTTTTTTTCAAACCGATACGAGTACGAGTATTTACATTTGTGTACTTGCCGATACCGAGTACCGATACCGATATTTCTACCGCAAAAGTAATAGGCTAATAAGTAATAGTAAAAGTAATAAGAAGACGACTATTTTAGAACACAGGTTAGAAGACTGTTTTTATTTTCTTCTCTGCTTGTTTTAACAAGTCTAAAAATAAATAAAAATTAGTAAATAATAAATGTATTAACACACAAACCACTCTTAATTTAACATAAAAGCAAGCAGGCTACTGCGTACATGGTTTGCCATGACTGAATGCGCGCAAAGTGCGCTCTCTTAAATCCTAAAAGCTGACAGTTCCTCGCGATCTCACACATCTCTGTTATTATCAATGAAGCTGACTGCACAATCAATCTTTCATAATATCCACACTTTGTTTGTTATAATTAGAGAATTTGCCAGCATACAGAATTCAGCACTGAACAAAAACGTCAGTTTTGAGCGGTGAGGGGAGTCTATCTTAAATGCTTCTGATTGGCCATTGCGTTCCAGAAATCAACACATATGTCTGTGATTGGCTACATCGCTCAACGCTGCAAACACGTTATGAATAGAAATTCTGTCCAGTAAATCGTTTCTATTTTGTTGTAGTTGTTCTTGTTGCTTTTCTGCAAGAGATGGATAAAAATCTATTCGTTTTTATGTTTTATTCATAGATATTTCTAGTTTGCGGGAGTCCCGCGAATCGTTTTATTCTCCCGTAACCCGCACACACAGAGTGAGTGCATTACCGCCCGCGCGCGCGCGCGCTCGGCCATCAGATCTATGATGCGTCTTCAGATGTTTAATTAGATTGCTGGTGTTAAACGATGTACTTTCTTTCCCTCCTCTCAACACCTTAGCTGAACATAACTCACAGTCTGCCTTGCTGTTGTCATCATCCCTTATCTTGAAATGAGCCCAAACCGCCGACATTATACTTTCCTATGCCTCAGTTCACCTCGACAAAGCACTCGCGGCGGCCAGTTTCGTTTTGCAAAATGTACGTGGTATCGGTGCGTGGTATCGGCGAATTGTTATGAGTACAAGTACGAGTATATGAGGACAGTAACGGCCCGATCCCCGATGCCAGTATCGGTATCGGGCCATCCCTAATAAAATGGTTATTAAATCATTAATGTCAGTGTTGAACAGCCACATGTACACTACTCAGGGTGTCTACAGATATAAACAAGTTCAATTTAAGACTTTTTAAGACCTTTTTAATGCCACTTTGAATGAAATTTAAGACCAAACCTGTGATGGAAATACACATTATATTACAAACGTATATGTAATATTAAATGTTTAACCTAAGTAATTAAAGTAATTTAATATTAACTACTTGTTTATTGAACTAAAATCAATGTTACATTTTGCAATCGTGAGAATATTCAGCAAAATAGCTCCCGTCATGTTATGTTACTCAACTATATCATATGTTATAAATAAAAAAACTCCACATTGTGAATGTTTACCTCAGTATGTTTGTTCTGTGAGTTATGATGTGTGCTGTTATGCTCGTTTGTTTTGATTTCTCACTATAAATTCTCTCACAGAGACAGGCGAGTCTCAACAGCGCTACCAGAAACACATTATCATTATCAATCGCTGTTTATGTAATAAAATCAGAATCATTCTCGCGATTCGATGCGACATTTTAGCGGTAATGTGACCAGAAATATTTAAGACCCATCGAATCTGAATTTAAGACATTTTAATACTTTTTAAGGCCTTTTATTAGGAAAACTTTATTTAAGACCCTTTAAGGACCTGCGGCCACCCTGACTACTGTTGAAACGTTTGGGGTCAGTTGTTTTGTTTGAAAGACATTATAATCATATAACATTGATAATAATTATAAATGTTTCTTGATCATCAGATCCTCATATTAGAGTGATTTCTGAAGGATCATGTGACACTGAAGACTGGAGTAATGATGCTGAAAATACAGCTTTGATCACAGGAATAAATTACATTTTAATGTATATTCACATAGAAAACAGCTATTTTACATTGTAAAGATATTTCACAATTTTTACTGTATTTTTGATCAAATAAATGCAGCCTCGGTGAGCAGAAGAGACTTTACATATAAAAAAACCTCAACTTTTGAACGTTAATCTATATCATACAGTATATAGGACAGTTTGTTCCCAGTAATAAACAGAAAAATAACAGAATCAATGAATCAAACTTGGAATATTGTGCAAGAGTCATATTGATAACGGTTATGGTGCCTTTATTATGTTTTTGAATCCTATTTGATGCTAGAAGATTGATTGGATATTTTGAATAATGTGCTTGTTTCTTTTTTTCATTTGGGTTTGGAATGACATTAATATATTTTTTAGATGAACTATCCCTTCACATAGATACATATATAGTAATTATTTGCTTATTTTTTTATTCATTATTTAAGTTTTATGGTCTATTATTGTGATATGATAAAGGCATGAAATCAGACTGAACTCTGATTGGCCGCTTTACATGTCATTCAAACGGTTCTTGAGCAGAATAATATTAATTGTTGCCGATATTCATCATAACTCACCATCCGTTCATCGTGAAGTCTCGGTACAGCATTCTCTTCCCAACCTCTTTTTTCGTGACCCTTCTGGGGAACTCCAGGTTGGTGAAGTCGTTTCCCAGCAGTGACGGCTGCAGGTGAGCCTGGGAGAGAACGGGACACCATCAGTTTTCCTGAGGGAAACCGCAAACATGCTGCATAATCTAGGATCTTGTCCTTGATAGAACTCAAACAAACATCAGAGTTCAGAAAAAAAAACATTTTCCAAGGCCACATTCCTGAATAACACAACTGAGGAATAAACGTTTGGATTCCTGAATAAACCGGATCAGGATTCTCGGGGAAATCCCGATTTCTCTCACCAGGAACTGAAGTCTCTGACGCTCCGATTCTGGAGTGAAGGAGCTGGACATGGGAATGATCTCTCCTGACCGGATGATCAGAGCCCTGAAACACACACAACAAAGTCATGCTTACCTTTCCTTTCCTTATAAAGCACTTTACAACTGCACCTGCAGACCAAAAACAGCATAAAAACAACACGAAACTTACTAATACAGATACTAGCCCAACCTCTCAAAAGCTAAAGACAAGAAATCATTTTTAACACGAGCTTTAAAGCTGCAGTTCGCAGTTTGTCCTCTTTGTCGCCATCTCTGTTCAAAATCTGCAATTCGCCTTTGGCTAAGCCCCGCCCCCCTTAGTTACCGTTGCTACGTCCGACAAACAAACTTCATCTGGGCTCTGGTATCAACATGGCTTATGCTGTGACAGCTCTTCCTGCTGTCATTTTATCAAACTTTTATAAAGCAGCAAATAAAGTGTCTGATAGAAGTAGGCAAAAGCGGCTGCAATATACGTTCGAAGGCTATATTCACGACATACAGGTGAAACACAAGGAACAACAAGGCATCCAAGCAGAGGCAAAAGCACACCGGTCACAGTCAACAAATGACCCACCGCATATCCTACTAATGGAGACGGAGGCTGGGACTCACAATATCACGGAGCAACACTGTTCATGCAGAGCTGGAGGTCTCTATTCACTTCTATAATCGTTATTACGAAGCAAACGGACTACGCGAGTATAACGGTGTATTATTAGCAGCGTGTGCTAGACGACACTTGTCAGGGTTTGACTTCGGTTTGGGAAGGGAAAAAAACGGACACCCCCTCCAACCTCTCTGGGAAACGCGTATCTGTGTTACAAATGCCCCAGGCATAACGTTTAACCATATTTTTGATAAAACTACGACGGTAATAGCCGGCCGAAACCAAAAATATGAGACGCCTGTGTTAAAGTCAATGGAGCGCTGTGAAAAAGTGTTGGACCACTGTGGGAGCTCGTTCTTGGCTGCGCTGTGATTGGTCAATCTACATTCTAGGGTGTGGCTTAGCCAAAGGCGAACTGCAGTCATTCGCGGAATTATCAACTTTACGTGAGTTGTGCTTCAACACCCTCGACACGGCACAGCGCGGATGAACACAGGGTTTGAGGAGAGTGTGTCCATTCCATTTAATCATACACTATAAGTGTTTTCAATATTTTTGAAAGAAGTCTCTTCTGCTCACCATTTAATTTATTTAATTAAAAATACAGTCAAAACTGAAATATTATTACAATTTATAATATATGTTAAAATGTAATTTATTCCTGTGATCAAAGCTGGATTTTCATCATCATTACTCCAGTCTTCAGTGTCACATGATCCTTCAGAAATCACTCTAATATGATGATCTGATGCTCAAAAAACATTTATGATTATTATCAATGTTGAAACCAGTTCATATTTTTGTGGAAACCATTTGGCATTTACATCCAATCACAGGATTCTTTGATGAATAGACTCAATAGAACAGCATTTATTTGAAATAGTCTTTTGTAACTTTATAAATGTCTTTAGTGTCACTTTTAATCAATTTAATGGAAGTATTATTTACAAATCTTACTGACCCCAAACTTTTGAACGATAGTGTATGTATTATTGAATTTATTATTATTATTAATATATAGTCATTACTATATCTTCAGTCTAGACATAAGCTCTCTTAAGTGAGAATATATGAAATATGCTTTATGAAATGGTGATGTAAGTCTCACCTGCTGTCGCCAGCATTGGCCACGTACAGTTTTCCGAGTAAATACATCACCACGAGCGCAGTACATCCTCCAGAGATCGAGTACACCAACCTCTCTCGAGCGATGTGAGCGTCCTGAGATCACACACACACACACACACGGACGGACAACTCAACCCACAGCTGAACTTTACAATGTAAACAGTTTTCTATGTGAATATATGTTCAAATGTCATTTATTCCTGTGATCAAAGCTGTATTTTTAGCATCATCAGTGTCACATGATCCTTCAGAAATCATTATAATATTATGATTTGATGCTCAACCCTTCATTAAAACATGCGAAAGCTATTTAAAATCAATGCAAACCAAACGATTATTTTACATTCCATTCCATTTAAACATTCACTCAGTTTTTAATATTTTTGAATGAAGTCTCTTCTGCTCACCAATGCTGTATTTATTTAATTAAAAATACAGTAAAAAGAGTGAAATATTATAACAATTCAAAATATGTTTTCTAATTTATTCCTAATTTAAAAATCCTGTGATCAAAGCTGAATTTTCAGCATCATTACTCCAGTCTTCAGTGTCACATGATCCTTCAGAAATCACTCTAATATGATGATTTGCTACTGTTGAAAACAGATTATTTTGGAAACCGTGATCATTTTCCTCAGGATTCTTTGAGTCCGGCTCATTTACATGAATGCATCGTTCATACAAGATCTCAGCCTGCCATCTAGTGGCCGTGAGAGATTCAGATTCCTGATCCAAAGACCACTCACCATTTCCTTGAAGGCGTTTTCTATGGCTCCCACCACCAGACTCTCCTGTTTGATCTTCTTCTCCATGAAGAAGCGCGGGGCCGTTGTGTTCGGGGACCCCGGGGCCCCCGCCGCCCCCCTGAGCGAGGCGGCCCGGGACAGGCCTCGCTGGGAGCCTCCGGCGGACAGGTGGAGCTGGGGAAGGTGGTGTACGGGGTTCTCCTCGCCTAAACACGTGGGCGGCTGGAGCGACGGGTTCTGCAGGATCTCCAGAACCTCCTGGAGCTGCTCCTCGATGTGCAGGTGGAGAAACTTGGCTGCGAAAACAGCCGCTCCAGAACCACCGTGACCGTCGAACAAACCCCAGTAGTGGAAGTCCAGCTCCTTCACCTCCTGCAGACACAAGAAATCAAATCATTATGTGGACCTTCACGTGATTTCACCAAGTACCACATGTTCCTGGATCCACATCTTTGTTGATCCTGGAACAACTTTCCAATCAACCAATCAGATTTGAGGGACAAGTTTACAGTTTATGTCAACTTAAACGTCAGTGTTACTCATCTATCATTACCCTCTGATTTTAGGGAAAAGTTATGGGTAGGGGTAGGGTTTGGGTAAGGACTACATTTTGGGACAGGAATGTTGATCCAGGAACATGTCTGTCTTGGCAAAATCACGGTGAATTGTGTATATGCGAAACAGAGATAACAGGAAAATAATGCAACACAGTTTGATTCTAGAAGAAAATAGCACCACAGTCACAGCTTAAGTAAGTTCAGTGATGTTTCATTTCAGTTGTAAAAAATTTATTAATTTAGTTCATTTATATATATATATAGCCGCTCTGGAGAAAACCGTGATGTCATAGTCCAGCTCAGTTCAGTTCTCATATAATGGTGTCAATGCAGGCAGATCAATAATATTGTTGAATATTACATTAAATGTCCCTAACTAAGCAAAAGCCAGAGAAACACGCAGCCATCTTCAGAATATTGTCTTTTACAATAAGATCAGTCGCTCTGTATATTTCTATGGCATCTCTGTTAAAGAGTAATAAGCTGGTGAAGTAGATTTATGTCATGTAATGTTAACGAAAGTTATCATGAGGATTATAATGTTTGAAGCAGATGTCTTATGAAGATTTTAAAACGAGCCGTTCATTTATAAATGCAAGATGGCTGTGGAAATACAAACCGGAAGATAAAAGACAACGAACGCTGCACTTAAAAGGGGCAGAGCTACATAAGTCTATAAATGTGACCCTGGACCACAAAACCAGTCACATGGGTAAATTTTTTGAAATTGAGATATATACATCATCTGAAAGCTGGATAAATAAGCGTGTTTACATTGATGTATGGTTTGTTAGAATAGGACAATATTTGGCCTGAAAATCTGGAATCTGAGTGTGCAAAAAAATCGAAACATTGAGAAAATCGCCTTTAAAGTTCTCCATTCATGTTCGTGATTGTGCTGCATTCACTTACAAAAATAAATGTTTTATATATTTATGGTAGGAAATTTACAAAATATCTTCATGAAACAATAGACCAATCACAACAGACTGGTCCATCTGACCAATCAGAGCAGAGTAGACCAATCACAACAGACTGGGTCATCTGACCAATCAGAGCAGAGTAGACCAATCACAACAGACTGGACCATCTGACCAATCAGAGCAGAGTAGACCAATCACAACAGACTGGGTCATCTGACCAATCAGAGCAGAGTAGACCAATCACACCAGACTGGGTCATCTGACCAATCAGAGCAGAGTAGACCAATCACACCCGACTGGGTCATCTGACCAATCAGAGCAGAGTAGACCAATCACACCAGACTGGGTCATCTGACCAATCAGAGCAGAGTAGACCAATCACACCCGACTGGGTCATCTGACCAATCAGAGCAGAGTAGACCAATCACACCAGACTGGGTCATCTGACCAATCAGAGCAGAGTAGACCAATCACACCCGACTGGGTCATCTGACCAATCAGAGCAGAGTAGACCAATCACACCAGACTGGGTCATCTGACCAATCAGAGCAGAGTAGACCAATCACACCAGACTGGGTCATCTGACCAATCAGAGCAGAGTAGACCAATCACACCAGACTGGGTCATCTGACCAATCAGAGCAGAGTAGACCAATCACACCAGACTGGGTCATCTGACCAATCAGAGCAGAGTAGACCAATCACACCAGACTGGGTCATCTGACCAATCAGAGCAGAGTAGACCAATCACAACAGACTGGGCCATCTGACCAATCAGAGCAGAGTAGACCAATCACACCCGACTGGGTCATCTGACCAATCAGAGCAGAGTAGACCAATCACACCAGACTGGGTCATCTGACCAATCAGAGCAGAGTAGACCAATCACACCCGACTGGGTCATCTGACCAATCAGAGCAGAGTAGACCAATCACACCAGACTGGGTCATCTGACCAATCAGAGCAGAGTAGACCAATCACAACAGACTGGGCGATCTGACCAATCAGAGCAGAGTAGACCAATCACAACAGACTGGGTCATCTGACCAATCAGAGCAGAGTAGACCAATCACAACAGACTGCGTCATCTGACCAATCAGAGCAGAGTAGACCAATCACAACAGACTGGGCCATCTGACCAATCAGAGCAGAGTAGACCAATCACAACAGACTGGGTCATCTGACCAATCAGAGCAGAGTAGACCAATCACAACAGACTGGGCGATCTGACCAATCAGAGCAGAGTAGACAAATCACAACAGACTGGGTCATCTGACCAATCAGAGCAGAGTAGACCAATCACAACAGACTAGTCCATCTGACCAATCAGAGCAGAGAAGACCAATCACAACAGACTGGGCGATCTGACCAATCAGAGCAGAGTAGACCAATCACAACAGACTGGGCCATCTGACCAATCAGAGCAGAGTAGACCAATCACAACAGACTGGGCCATCTGACCAATCAGAGCAGAGTAGACCAATCACAACAGACTGGGCCATCTGACCAATCAGAGCAGAGTAGACCAATCACAACAGACTGGGCCATCTGACCAATCAGAGCAGAGTAGACCAATCAGAGCAGAGTAGACCAATCACAACAGACTGGGCCATCTGACCAATCAGAGCAGGCTCTCAAAAAGGAGGGGTTTAGAGAGATCGAATCCTTTATCGAATTGTTTAGACACTGTGAGAAAAGAGCTGATGCTGCAATGTATATTATGAGAAATTTAAAGTCTTTTTTTTTACCTTGATTGCATGTAAACCTGTTGTAGGAGATCCCAAACAAAACTAGGAGCCTTTAATTAAAATAGCATAATGGGGCACTTTAAAACCTGAGTGTGTTATGGAACATCTCTCATTATCTGTGGAAAGCCCTTCTCCCAGTATAGATGTGGCCCTCACCGTGCTGTCGATGGTCTCCAGTATGTCAGCGCTGGGCAGAGAGGAGCGCCTCCTGGTGGGAGTGTAACTGGGGCTGGACGGGTCCGCGGGTCTTTTCCTGAGCTCCACCACCTCACAACACGCCTGGTCCTCGTTTAGGGCACTTTTACCTGCGTTGATCACCCTGTGGAGACACAGAAGACCATCACAGCTACAGTTTCCCCATCAACAACGCCACGCCGCGATAAAAGGCATCTTTTCAATGTTACAGGAAATCGATAAGAATCGGAATTGATAAGCAGAATCGAAATAGGAATCGGGATCGTTGAAATTCAACCCGAGTGTGGACAAGGCCTCAAGGACAATTAAAGCGAGCCGTCCCGTACCATGCAGTGGAAAAGCGTCTGCTGCTGTACAATATAGCATACATGAATAACCCGTAGCAGATCTACACAGGTGGAGCTGGGGAAGGAGGAGGGCTTCTGAAAGCAAATGCTGACCAAGTATTTGAAGGTTGAGCTGCGAGCTCATTGGCTACTGATACAGCAGGAACCAATCAGCTGTGCCCTATAGAGAATGATGTGATTGCAAGCAGATTGAGTTAGGGACCAATCAGTCTCTTCTGTGCTTTATATTTTTTGTGATAGTCTTTTCTTCCCTATAGTTACGTATATCCGAGTGAAACGGCTTCTCAAACAAGAACAAATGTGGGCGGGGCTTGATTTTGTCTGTGGGGAATTGATTGGATGGTTGTGGATTGCTATTGGTGGATCTTATGTGATTGACAGGTTGCCCCGCCCTCGTCATCAGAGAAGAGAAGAGAAGAGAAGAGAAGAGAAGAGAAGAGAAGAGAAGAGAAGAGAAGAGAAGAGAAGAGAAGAGAAGAGATTCTGATTCAAGATTACCAGGAACATGAATTTTAAAAACAGTGATGTGCACGGTTAAATCGTTAATATTAAATACTACAATATTCCATAAAAAAAAAAAGAACGGTTCATTTTGATGTCATGATAACCCA